CAGGGAACAGCACGGGGGGACAGCTTGTCCGCAGACAAGTCGCGGACAAACGCCCGGGATCCCCAAACACGGAACGCAGACGCATCGCCAACCTTCCCCATCCACCGCAGAGCAGGGGAGGTCTCCGGCATGGAGACCCGGGGCTGAACCGCGATCTGATGCGCCGCGTACTGAACCGCGAACGGCCACAGAAAATGGGGGGCAGCCGCATGGATCATGGACGTACGAGCGACGTCCATGACCATGCCAATGCGGCGCTCAGCAATCCCATTTTGCTGTGGAGAGGCCGGAAGCGTGAACGTCTGGCGGATGCCCTGTGCACGACAGAAGGCTCGCAGAAGGTCAGAGGAGAACTCTCCGCCTCTGTCGGAGTGCTGACGCAGAACAGGAAAGTCAGAGCCGAAACTCTCTCTGAGCTGGAGACGAGCAGCGCGGATCCAGTCGATCAACACCCCAGAGACCTCACCCTTGTTGCGCAAGGGGAAGACGGTGGTGTAACGCGAGTAGTCGTCAACCACCAGCAGGAAGTAACGCTCGTGACCCTGTCCACGGACGCGGGCTGGGCCCCACACGTCCATGTGAAGCGTCTGCAGTGGAGCCTCTGTCGGAGGAAACTCGGAGGAGTGAGGAGCAGCGCGCTGCCGCCCCTCGACGCAGGGAACGCAGGTAGGGGCAGGCCCTGGAGGAAGAGGAGGGAGGGACGCTGCTCCAGGGGCGGCTGCTACAGGGGTGGCTGCTCTAGGGGCGGCTGCTGCAGGGGCGGCTCCTCCAGGGGCGGCTGCTGCAGGGGCGGCTGCTCCAGGGGCGGCTACTGCAGGGGTGGCTGCTCCAGGGGCGGCTGCTGCAGTGGCGACTGCTCCTGGGGCGGCTGCTTCAGGGGCGGCTGCTCCAGGGGCGGCTGCTGCAGGGGAGGCTGCTCCAGGGGCGGCTGCTGCTGTGGCGGCTGCTCCAGGGGCGGCTGCTGCAGGGGCGGCTGCTCCAGGGGCGGCTGCTGCAGTGGCGGCTGCTCCAGGGGCGGCTGCTGCAGGGGCGGCTGCTCCAGGGGCGGCTGCTGCAGTGGCGGCTGCTCCAGGGGCGGCTGCTGCAGGGGCGGCTGCTCCAGGGGCGGCTGCTGCAGGGGTGGCTGCTCCAGGGGCGGCTGCTGCAGTGGCGGCTGCTCCAGGGGCGGCTGCTTCAGGGGCGGCTGCTCCAGGGGCGGCTGCTTCAGGGGCGGCTGCTCCAGGGGCGGCTGCTGCAGTGGCGGCTGCTCCAGGGGCGGCTGCTGTAGTGGCGGCTGCTCCAGGGCGCGGGTTAGGGCAGGGCGCCGCGACGGGCAGGGGTGACGCCACGCGGGTCCCGCAGGGGCGTCGCGACGCACAGGAGCCGCGCCTCGCGGGTCCCGCAGAGGCGTCGCGACGAGGCAGGGGCGACGCGGCGGGGCCGCGACTGGCGATGGGGCGGGGCCGCGACTGGCGACGGGGCGAGGCCGCGACTGGCGACGGGGCGGGGCCGCGACTGGCGACGGGGCAGGGCCGCTACGGGCAGCGGGGCGGGGCCGCGAAGGGAGCCGCGAGGGAGCCGCGAGGGGGCCGCGAGGGGGCCGTGAAGGGGCCGCGAGGGGGCCGCGAAGGGGCCGTGAAGGGGCCGCGAAGGGGCCGCGAAGGGGCCGCGAGGGGGCCGTGAAGGTGCCTCGAAGGGGCCGTGAAGGGGCCGCGAAGGGGCCGTGAAGGGGCCGCGAAGGGTCCGCGAAGGGAGGCCGCGAAGGGGCCACGAGGGGCCTGAAGGGGCCCGAAGGGCCGTGAGAGGGGCCGCTACGGGGCCTTAGGGGAGCGCGACGGGCCACCAAGGGCAGGGGACGCGATGGGAGGGTAGGCACACGGGGCGCGACCCGGGCAGGGGCGAAGCGCGCTCCGGGCAGGAAAAAAAAAAAAATCGATATTCGGTGGGCCCTAGGAAACGTTCACACTAGGGAACCTGCTCTATACCATGTGAAAGAACGAGGGATGAGTGAACTAGCAAGCAGGTGGGTACAAGTAGGAAAACCTAAAAGTGTTGTACCCCATATTGTCTACCCCACTACAGCCTACACAGACTATAGCATATGAGTTTGACACTTAATGCAAATGAAGGCTGAATCTACTACTACTGCGCCATACAACACAGTGAGCTAAGCACGACGCTACATCGCCCCGGTTTCAGCAACGTCATGCCCCACACACAATACTACAGGTCGAGCTGGGCGTTGGCGATGCCCCACATCGACCTGAGAGTAGATGAGGCGCCATGACGACATATTTCATGGCGCCAGATCTGTCGCTATTATGACTGATTTCGTGGTGCCAGATCTGGCGCCATTGTGACCGATTTCGTGGCGCCAGATCTGGCGCCATGGCGACGGATTACGTGGCGCCAGATCTAACGCCATGGCGACGGATTTCGTGGCGCCAGATCTGAAGCCATGGCGACGGATTTCGTGGCGCCAGATCTAGCGCCATGGCGACGGATTTTTTGGCGCCAGACCCGGCGCCATGGCGACGGATTTCGTGGCGCCAGTTCTGGCGCCATGGCGACGGATTTCGTGGCGCCAGATCTGGCGCCATGGCGACGGATTTCGTGGCGCTAGATCTGGCGCCATGGCGACGGATTTCGTGGCGCTAGATCTAGCGCCATGGCGACGGATTTCGTGGCGCCTGTTCTGGCGCCATGGCGACGGATTTCGTGGCGCCAGAACTGGCGCCATGGCGACGGATTTCGTGGCGCCAGATCTGGCGCCATGGCGACGGATTTTGTTGAACAAGATTTGGCTGAATCCATAGTGCACATTGCAATACCCCAAGTCCACATTGCAACTTACACTAAGTTGCTCACCTGTACTGGAAGTCTCTAGTCTCCGCTAAGGTGGCAGCGGAGGCGAAACCCTAAGCTAAGTGGAATAGATTTCTCCCCTCACTCTTGTAGGAAAATGGTTGGACTTCGCGCTTTCCTACGGTTGGAACAGTGCAACTCGAAAAAGACAAACAGAACAAACGCGCTAACAGTCCCTCAATCGTAACAGTGAGAGGTCGTAAGGGGGAGAATTTCAACTTTCGGGCGGGCGTTTCTTTCAGTGACTATTCGTGATAGCCTCGTGGGGCGACGAGTGACCATCCGTGATAACCAGTGACCATCCATGATAGAATCGCCTGTTTCATTGACCGTTCGTGATAACCCCATGACCATTCGTGATAGCGCGTTCTGTTTAGTGACCATTCATATAATAACCCAATCTGAAACGTAGGGTAGCAAGATACAAGATAACACAAGGTCGAAGGCGAAATTGTTACAGGCGAAGTTCCCGAAGTACTTCGTTTGTCCTCGCAGCAATCCATGCTGTTGGCTTTCTCCCGCGCCGAACTTCCAGTGCTATCAGTTTTCATACCTTTCTTCATGTTTGTTACCGAAAAGCACCAGCCAGAACCGTGGTACGTGGTTTGTGAAAAGTAAGTCTCACCACGCGGCACCCCCTCGGGAAATGGCAGCAATGTGACGTACTGGTTCAGTAAGGTATTTCACGATTCGCAGCGGTTCGTAACGTTTCAGTAGCGTGACGACGAACTAGAAATCACGTTTGTCCCTTCTCTGATGACAAACCTGTTCAGGAAGCTCCCCAAGGTAGCATCAGAATAAGAGATCGCAAAGAACCGTAGTGAAACGCTCGAAAATGTCCAAAACCCGCTTATTGAGTTTGTGAGTGTGGATGCTGACGGGTCCTGAAAAAATCGTTCACTGTTCACACCTGAAATTCTCAGGCTGGTGAGTGGCGGTTTCAAAATGGTGAAAACGCACATCACCGCCCTTAATTGCATATTATCGCTGTAAAACGTTTGGGCTTAAAGCCCGCGTCCCAAATTGCGGACCGCGAGGGTCAAGTTTTTAAAACTTGACGAAGTTGAGTGTCCAAGCTTTTGAAAGTCACGCACCTGCAATTTGGGACTTTCGAAGACAGATTCACTCACCAGGGGGAAAACCGAGGGTTGGCTGGGTCTCGCGAAAAAAACGAACCTAGACGAAATTGCGAACTCTCGCCAAAGCCTACACCAGAAAAACTCCCTCTGGTCAACTTTTAAAAGCATGAACAATTTGGGCCGCCGGTTTTAACAGAAGGTTGAAATTTAGGGACCAGTCCTTCGGAACTGGTGTTTTCGCTTATGGACGTCTGAAGTATATTGAGTTGACTATGTGCGGCAGTAAGTCTAGTTGACTAGTATGTTGCTGCACCATTCGGTCAATGTTGGTGAATCAGAGACGCACCTGTGGTTCTCGGAACTCGTTTGTATACGTGCCTACTAAACATTCTCTCTTTCTCTCTCTTCTCGTGTCCCTTCCCTCTCCGCCAGCGAATTCTCGACTATTTGGTACGACCCCGTTGCCACATTAAGCTTTTCTTTCTGACACATATCAGAACGCGATGGCTCATGTGGTAAAGTGAACTCGTTACTATCTGAAGCCCTATCGGTAAGCGACTCGGCACCATGCCGCCTTCTTTCGAGTCGACGCAGCGGCTACCACACGCATTGCTACCAGCCATCGAGTCGGCGCAAAGGTTACGCGCAGTGCTACCGCGTAACATTCATCGCGCGATCTCCTCGCTTTACAACGCCAAGCGCGTTCCGCGGCTCTCGGGAGTGTTTCTAATCGCACTCGTTTCCCTAGTCTCCTTAATCTCCTTCTCCCTCTGGCAATCCAAGTGCTGCCGCTGCCTACACGGCAGCAAAGAGCAAACCCGCAGGAGAGGAATCAGCACCAGTAGCAGCAGCAGCAGCGGCGGCGGCAGCGGCGGCGACGGCAGGGTTGGGTTCGATGGTTCAGGCGACATCGTCATCAGTAGCAACGTCGCGTCGGGTCGCGCGCTGCGTAATTCCAGCACCGACGACGATCGACGGCCGTTCATCTACGTGTACGATCTGGGCCCGGCTTATACGGACAAGATTCTCCAGCTGGAGCCCGCGTGGTACTCGCAGCAGTACGATGTTGAGAAGCATATGACGGAGCTGCTTATAGCGAGTAACGCCGTGCGCACCGTGGATCCGTACGAGGCGTCGCTCTTCTTCGTGCCGTTCTTCTCGGCGCGACTCACGCTGTACCATTTCAAGGACTGGGAGAACAACATGCGCGGCGCCGTGGAGGAGGCATCCAAGGTGCGCGGGTGAGGGGGGTGGGAGGAGTGGAAAGCAGGTACGACTGTGTGCAATGAAAGCGGCGCGCTGTACCACTTCAAGGACTGGGAGAACAACACGCGCGGCGCTGTGGAGGAGGCATCCAAGGTGCGCGGGTGAGGGGGGTGGGAGGAGTGGAAAGCAGGTACGACTGTGTGCAATGAAAGCGGCGCGCTGTACCACTTCAAGGACCGGGAGAACAACATGCGCGGCGCCGTGGAAGAGGCATCCAAGGTGCGCGAGTGAGGGGGAGCGAGGGGAGGGGGGGGAGAAAGGGGGGCAGAGTGGGGGAGGGGAAGAGTGGGGAAGGGAGGAAGGGGGAGGGAGAGGGGGACTGGGTGGAGAGCGGAACGGAAGGAGGGACGGGATTGGATGAGGGGGAAAGTGGAGGATGGGTGGGGATGGAGGGAGGGGGAAAGGGGAGTTTCGAGGGGATGCGCGATGAAGGTAGCCATTCAACGCAGTTTGAGGCGCCTCAAAAGACGTCTCAGGTTGCACTCTGAAATTCTGAAGTTTGAGTCATGCACCATTCAACTCTTGGAACACGTAAACTCTTAGAATTTCTCAAACTCATACCTCAACCCTTGAACCATGTTGGCTCGGCAGGTGTGGACAGAAATCCTCACAACGTGTTTTGGAATCCTTGAAACCCCTTGCCCCTGTTGGCTCTGCTCTGCAGGTGTGGACAGAAATCCTCACAACGTGTTCTGGAATCCTTGAAACCCCTTGCCCCTGTTGGCTCTGCTCTGCAGGTGTGGACAGAAATCCTCACAACAGTGCGCCGGAACTACCCCTTCTTCAACCGCACCAACGGCCGAGATCACTTCAGCATCCTCACGCTCGATCACGGCCGTTGCCACTCGCTCACGTTCGTGGACCCGGGCCTCGTGGGCGAGATGTTCTTTGTGACTTATAACGGGGACAAACTCGTTAGGAGTGTACACGCAAGCAAGGAGCGCAACATGCAGGTGAGGCGAGATGTTCTTTGTGACTTAATAACGGGGACAAACTCGTTAGGAGTGTGCACGCGAGCAAGGAGCGCAACATGCAGTTGAGAGCAGTGGAGCCAGTCTTTCCCTCCACCCCACCCCATCCCACCTCACCCCACCTTACCCCACCCCACCCCACCCCACCCCACCCCACCCTGTTGCACCAACCCCCACTTCCTTTCCCCATTCCCTACCCCCTCTTCTTCCACCCCCTGCCCCTCGCGTCCCTTGCCTTGTGTTGGGGTGAAGGGGCCTCTCCTTCCTGTCCTCCTTATCCCCCACCCCTTTCTCCCCTCCTCACCCCCTCCTCTTCCTCCGCTCCCTACCCCCTCACGGCCCTCCCATTCCTCCCAACGCCTCCTGATCCCTTCTGACCCCTCCCGATCAGCCCCGACCCCTCCCGACCCCGCCCGATCCATCCCAACCCCTCTCCATGTGACATTGTCGTGCCCGTGCTTGTTTCCAAGGGGCTGCCACTGGTGGCACCTCTTTGCAAGCCCTCTTCCTCTTCCTTCCCTCTCCATCCTTCTCCCCCCCCCCCTCCCTACTCCTCCCGCCCCCCAGGCCATAACATACAACTACAGGATCCCAGTGGACCCATCACTACCAGACATCCCCTGCTACCTGCCCGATCGAGACATTGTCGTGCCCGTGCTTGTTGCCAAGGGGCTGCCACTGGTGGCGCCGTGGGAGGGTGAGAGGGATCGCGCTGTGCTGTTCCGGTTTGGAGCAGGGCAGCACCATGGCGTGCCGATATGGCATCACGGGCACCAGATTCGGAAAGAGTTGCTGGAGGTGAGGTGCGGTTGAGTGTGGTTGCGCTGTGTGGGAGATGAGCTGACTTGTTTTCTTTCTGGTGGCGCCGTGGGAGGGTGAGAGGGATCGCGCTGTGCTGTTCCGGTTTGGAGCAGGGCAGCACCATGGCGTGCCGATATGGCATCACGGGCACCAGATTCGCAAGGAGTTGCTGGAGGTGAGGTGCGGTTGGAATGGGAGGTGGGATGGCTTGATGGTGGGTCCTGCGCTCTTGGTTTCCCCGTGGGAGGTGAGAAGGTGAGTGGGAGGGGAGAAGTGGAGTGGGAGGGGAGAAGGTGAGTGGGAGGGGAGAAGGTGAGTGGGAGGGGAGAAGGTGAGTGGGAGGGGAGAAGGTGAGTGGGAGGGGAGAAGGTGAGTGGGGGGGGAGAAGGTGAGTGGGAGGGGAGAAGGGGGTGAGTGTGAGGTGAGATGGGGGTGAGTAGGAGGTGGGCTAGGTTCGCCCCTCTTGGCAACTTCCGCTGATTCAAAGTTGACCTAGTCTGATCACACACCGCTGACATAGTCTGATTTGGGTTTTTGAGTCGACTCAAAAATCGACTTATCACACACCGCTGACCTAGTCTGATTTGGCACCAAGGCCTTCAGATCCGCACGGAGTGATTGGAGGTGGGCTGGAGGTGAATTGGAGGTGAATTGGAGGTGAATTGGAGGTGAGTTGGAGGTGAGTTGGAGATGAATTGGAGGTGAGTTGGAGGTGAATTGGAGGTGCGTTGGAGGTGAATTGGAGATGAGTTGGAGGTGAGTTGGCAGCGCTGTGCTGTTCTGGTCTAAGTTGCAAAATACGCTTATAGCGTATATACGCGTATCGTATATACGCTAGCGTATATACGCTATACGCGTAAGGGAGCGATTTGGACATACGCTTTTTGGGGCAGGGAAAAAACTTTCCCGGGCAGGGGAAAAAATCCGCCCGGGCTATTATAGGGGGGGGGATCTAAGGGGTTATGTTTCAGAGGTAAGTTTTTCTCCATACTATGATAACCACCCTCGACTCGGCCCGAAATCGGGTTAAGATGCAGAGTTCGTAGGCTATAGACTGCAATAGCGTTGCGCGAATCTGCTCTGCTTCGGGCTCGCAATCACAAGGCATGATTGCTAGAGTGTAGGAGGAGGCGTAGGAGAGATCCTGGACAGGGAAACCATCGCCAATGCTGGAATTCGTGCCCCACACCCATCGCCAATGTTGCCTCCAACCAATTCCCCCTCCCATCACCTATCTTCACCGCATTGCATCTATCTCATCCAACCAATTTGATACTTGAAATTTGTACAGTCGTCACGTCACTTCCTTCCAGTCCAGATCTACAAGACGTTGTTCTAGGGAGAGTCTTTCCCCCCATCCCTTCTGCGGGAAGAACCTTCGATCCGCGCGGATCTGCGCGGAAGGGAAATTGCCGATCAGCGCGGAAATCGCCGTTCACCCTTGCACAAATCGCGGACGTGAATTTTGACGGTGGCAAAATGCTCGTCGTGCAATTCCGCATCTTTCCGTATATTCACATTTTTTTCGGTCGGGCTGCCCCAAACAAAATTGGCAAGCGTATAGCGTATTAGCTTGCGTTTAGCGTGTAAACGCTAGCGTATATCCGCTAAACGCACAGTGTCCTGAGCGTATTTGGCAACTTAGGTTCTGGTTCGGTGCGGGCAGGCAAGAGTAGGGGTGGTGGGACCTTGCAGCAAAGGGCAAAGGGGAAAGGGCAAAGGGCAAAGGGGAAAGGGCAAAGGGCAAAGGGCAAAGGGCAAAGGGGAAAGGGCAAAGGGCAAAGGGCAAAGGAGAAAGGGGAAAGGGCAAAGGGGAAAGGGGAAAGGGCAAAGGGCAAAGGGCAAAGGGGAAAGGGCAAAGGGGAAAGGGCAAAGGGCAAAGGGGAAAGGGCAAAGGGCAAAGGGCAAAGGGCAAAGGGGAAAGGGGAAAGGGGAAATACACCCTGACCGACTCTCCTTTTTCTCTCCTCTCTCCATTCTTGCACCCACTCTCCCGTCCCTTCCGTCCCTCTTGCTCAGCTGTAACACGTAGGCAGGGTACAAGGGGTAAGACTTTGCGGAGAAGGGCGAGGGAAAGGGCATAACCTGATTGTCAGCAGGCCAGCCTACCTGCTGGCTTCTGTCTTAGGCTAGTCGTCTAGTTTTGATGCGCCTCAAAACAGGCCAGCCTACCTGCTGGCTTCTGTCTTAGGCTAGTTGTCTCTTTTCTCTTTCCTATCTCCATACCCTCCCCCAACCCCCCTGTTTTTCACATTCCCTTCCCGTGTCTCAGCTGTACACGCATGCAGGGTACGAGGGGTGGGACTTTGCAGAGAAGGGCGAGGCGGACACGGATGCGGATTGGCGGAGAGCTGTCTATCTATCTGCTGGCTAAAGCTTGTCCTCTCTTTCCTCTCTCCTATCTCCATACCCTCCCCCAACCTCCCTCTCCCCTCCCTTCCTTCCCTGTTGCGCAGCTGTACATGCATGCAGGGTACGAGGGGTGGGACTTTGCAGAGAAGGGCGAGGGGGACACGGATCCTGACTGGCGGAGGGCTGTCTTCTGCATCTGCCCGCCCGGCCACTCCCAGTGGACCAGCCGCCCCTTCAAGGTACGAGGCTGTGATGGTCAATCGAGTCAGTTTAGTGGGCTCCGGGCCACTCCCAGTGGACCAGCCGCCCCCTCAAGGTGGGTTTGAGTCTACTAAAAAACTCGTCTCTTTTCAGGCGGGCTGTCTTTTGCATCTGCTCGCCGGGGCACTCCCAGTGGACCAGCCGCCCCTTCAAGGTGGGAATGGCTACAGTGGTAAATCACTACAGAAGTACACTGAGTCTCAAAAGATACAGCCTTTTCTATCAAATCTTGCAGTCAATTTACAACTGGTACGAAAGAACCTCTCGTTGGCTGATTTGTCATTGTCTTAGTTTTGTTTTTCTATCTTCTTTTTCTTCTCTTTCTTTTTTCGTTTATTCATATACAGGCATTGATATCCGGGTGTATCCCGGTGACATTTTTCCGAGAGCACGACAACCCATGGCAGGACGAACTGGAATACTCCTCCTTCTCCATCAACATCGATCCCGACAACATATGGCAGCTCAAGGAGCGTATTGATGCAGTCAGGAACCAGCCAGAGCTGCTCCAGAGGATGCAGAAGAACGTCGTCGGGGTGCAGGTGGGTGTGTTGGGTTGGGGTGCTCTTGGTGCAGGTGGGTGTGTTGGGTTGGGGTGCTCCTGGTGCAGGTGGGTGTGTTGGGTTGGGGTGCTCCTGGTGCAGGTGGGTGTGTTGGGTTGGGGTGCTCTTGGTGCAGGTGGGTGTGTTGGGTTGGGGTGCTCTTGGTGCAGGTGGGTGTGTTGGGTTGGGGTGCTCCTGGTGCAGGTGGGTGTGTTGGGTTGGGGTGCTCCTGGTGCAGGTGGGTGTGTTGGGTTGGGGTGCTCTTGGTGCAGGTGGGTGTGTTGGGTTGGGGTGCTCTTGGTGCAGGTGGGTGTGTTGGGTTGGGGTGCTCCTGGTGCAGGTGGGTGTGTTGGGTTGGGGTGCTCCTGGTGCAGGTGGGTGTGTTGGGTTGGGGTGCTCCTGGTGCAGGTGGGTGTGTTGGGTTGGGGTGCTCTTGGTGCAGGTGGGTGTGTTGGGTTGGGGTGCTCTTGGTGCAGGTGGGTGTGTTGGGTTGGGGTGCTCCTGGTGCAGGTGGGTGTGTTGGGTTGGGGTGCTCCTGGTGCAGGTGGGTGTGTTGGGTTGGGGTGCTCCTGGTGCAGGTGGGTGTGTTGGGTTGGGGTGCTCCTGGTGCAGGTGGGTGTGTTGGGTTGGGGTGCTCTTGGTGCAGGTGGGTGTGTTGGGTTGGGGTGCTCTTGGTGCAGGTGGGTGTGTTGGGTTGGGGTGCTCCTGGTGCAGGTGGGTGTGTTGGGTTGGGGTGCTCCTGGTGCAGGTGGGTGTGTTGGGTTGGGGTGCTCTTGGTGCAGGTGGGTGTGTTGGGTTGGGGTGCTCCTGGTGCAGGTGGGTGTGTTGGGTTGGGGTGCTCCTGGTGCAGGTGGGTGTGTTGGGTTGGGGTGCTCTTGGTGCAGGTGGGTGTGTTGGGTTGGGGTGCTCTTGGTGCAGGTGGGTGTGTTGGGTTGGGGTGCTCTTGGTGCAGGTGGGTGTGTTGGGTTGGGTTCCCTCAGGTGGATGCAGCAGGCATGTGTTGGGGCGTGTGTTGGGTACCCTTGCTATAGTACTCCTCCATCAACATCGATCCGGACAACATCTGGCAGCTGAAAGAACGGATTGATGCAGTCAGGCACCAGCCAGAGCTGCTCCAGAGGTGGGGGTGTGGGGTTCCCTCAGGTGCTGGTGGGTGTAGTTGGGTTCCCTCAGGTGCAGTTGGGTGTTAAGTTGGAATAGAAATTGAGAATTCTAAAAAAAGAACCAGCCGGAGCTGCCCAAGAGGATGCAGAAGAATGTTGTCCAGGTGCAGGTGGGTGTGGGGGGGTGTGTGTTGGGTTTCCTTGGGTGCAGGGTGATGGTGATGTTGGGGCGTTTGTTAGGCGCAGTCAGACACCAGCCAGAGCTGATTCAGGGGATGCAGAAGAATGTCGTTTGGGTGCAGGTGGGTGTGGGTGGGGTTCGTTATGGCTTTTGTTGTTTTGACATTTTGGCAGTTGCGGTGTTGTGATGTGAGCGTGTGGAGTGGAGGAACTGGAGCATAGCATGTGCTTGTGCGGTACTTGGATTTTTCATAGCAGGACTGAAATTTTTGGTTGTGTCTTCCCTGTTTCTGAAATTTGTCCCACCCCGTATACAGGAATTGTTTCGGTGGACAGGAACTCTTGATAGGTCGGCAGAGTCTATGCTTATCCGCCGGTTACGAAAAAGAGCAGCTGATCTTCGACCGTTTCAATTGCAAATGGCTCGAGAAAGAGGAATTGATGAGAAGCTTCGGATGACTGGTCTGTAGCGTGGCAATTTGTTTGCTATGTTACACGTTGCAAAATAAAGAGGTTGAATTGAAGTCCAAATGTATTGTATATGGCGTGTAGATGTACGTAAAGCAAGAGCACGAGTTTGGATGAAAATGCGGATGTTTGAGGTGGCGGCGAGAGTGAGCGCCAGGTGCTTCTCTGGCTGCTGGTTGGTGTCTTTGTCTGGCATTGTGAGGCTTCTTGTCCGGCATTGTGCGGCTTCTTGTCCGGGATTTGTGAGGGAGTAGGATTTTGGGAGATGGCGAAAGGTGTATTGTCGTGGTTTGGATTTGGGAGTGTGGCATGGCGGGCGGAGTTGCACGACAGAAGCAAGTGTTTGAACGGAACGACTGGTTTGCTCGTCACGTTACTTGTCACGTCGAGGAAAAGACAGCTCGATTATTTGTCGTGTATCTCTCGTCGTCGCTCGGGCTTCGACTTCCTGGAGATCGTTCGGTTACTGTTTTGTCCGCATGTAAATGTACAACATGTTTCGTTCATGACCATAACTGTCCAACTGTTTTCTCGGGAGTGGCTCGCAGGCTGCAGGCAGACAGCCTGTCTTGTCAAACAACCAATCCAGAGGGAGCAACTCACGGATTGCAAGTTCTAGCGTCAGCCTTGGCTTGGACCCCGAACCCGAAGGTCTTGCTTTGGAGAGCGGCGAACTTAGAGGCCAGGTTCGTGGCTGGACCAAGGGAACTAAACTGCCAGGTTCGCAACGAAACTTTCAACTACACCTCTTCGTTTGGTGAGGGGAGAAACAAGCTTCTTTGGCTGGACGAGGCAACAATACATTTTACAAAGTGGATAGAGAGGTTTGGAGTGCGTTTTTGTAGGGTGGAAAGAGGCGAAGAGACGTCGGCTGGCTCCCAGAACAAGGAAACCTACAAGCAGTCGCAAGGGGGCTTCAAGCAGCAACAGCCCCGGAGAGGAGGTTAGGAGGTTGTGTGTCTTCCGGGAGGTTAGGAGTTTGACTCGGACGAACCTATTTCCTTCACAGCGGGCGGGAGTTTCGGTGCTCTCGCGACTCGCTATACTGCTCTCGACGGCTCTTCTCTTCACAGCGGCGTCCATCTCCTCGCCTTAGTCGTAATCTTCTAAGCACCAGCTTCCTCTCTTCTTCATAGCTATAGCGAGAGTGCGAGTCTTTGCCTTGCTGAATGTCGCTTCTGAAATGATTATCGAGTTCACTCAGAAGTCGTATCGCTTCTGAAATCTTTCAGAAAGCGAGTCGCGGATACCTGACTAGTGTCGCGTTCCCTCTTCATCATCCCTCGTCTCGTCTCGCCTCTCGCGCCCGACCCGTCGCCTGTCGCCGTCGCACACCGCACGTCGCAAGACGCACGTCGCACATCGCGCGTCGCGCGTTTCATCTCCTCCGTTTCCTTCGTCCCTCTCCCTCCCGCGCCGCTTCGCAAGCGCCATCCATACGCGATATAAACATGTTCCTCGGAATCGCGCATTCATACTCCAAGCTCAGCCTCCCCACCATGATACTCCCGCCAGGTCTTTCCAAGAAAATCACCCCCACGATAACAATGCCGCGATTAAATTCGCTAATCAAGCTCGCAGCCCTCGTTTTGTGCACCGCCGTTTGTGTCACAATTTTGAACTCCAGCGGCTGCTGGTGCTTTAACAGAGGTTCCATGAGCGGATTGAGCGGCGGTGCTAACGGCGAAGCAGCGAATGTCGTTGCTGAAAGCAGTCCGCTCTTTCGCTCGTTGCGGGACGTCAATAACGCGGATACGAACAGTGTCAGCAGCAGTGGCAGTGGTAGCGGTAGCGGGCTCCGAACCTCCCAGCTTATGGAGCCCGCGGACTCGGCTGGTTTAGGTTCGGCAGTTTCCGAACCAGGTTCTGGCGGTGGTTTGTACGATCGACCGTTCATCTATGTGTACGATTTAGCTCCGGAATACACGGAGAAGGTTCTGGAGCTGAATCCGGCGTGGTACAACCACCAGTACGACGTGGAGCGTTACATGACGGAGGTCATCCGGACTAGTAACGCCGTACGTACGGACGACCCGGAGCAAGCAACGCTGTTCCTCATCCCGTTCTTCGCGGCGCGTTACACGCTGTACTGCTTCCGGTCGTGGGAGAACAACATGCGGCAGGCGATCGAGGAAGGTTCCAGGGTACGGTCAAGTTATTTCTAAGAACTCTTCGAAGATGTGAGACGTCTAGAAACTCTTTAAAGCGATACGCGCGGCAGGCGTTCGAGCGGTAGGCGGAAGGCTTCAAGGCACTGTCGGGCCGCACGAAAGGTTCGAGCGACTAGCGACGCGCGACTCCGTACCCGGCCGGTTTCGCTCGTTTATTGTCCTGTCCGCAGCGTGATTGACCTCGTTAGCAGCACCCATTTCACTTTCCGGCGTCCCCAGATTCCGCTCCCCCATCAGTTCCCGCCTCCTCCCCCTCCCCCTTTCCCCTCCGTTTCAATCCCCCCTCCCTTTCCCCTCTCCCTCCCCCCCCGTTCTCCCCTCCTCCTGCCCCTTTCCGCCAAACTTCCGCCATTTAATTCCCCCCCCGTCCTTTTTCCCCTAAGCAGTATTCCTATTTTCACCCCAACCTTCCCTCCCCCACCCTTTTTCGTGCAAGCAGATATGGGAGAAGCTTATAACGAAGGTGAGAAAGGAGCATCCGTACTTCAACCGCACCAACGGCAAAGATCACTTCTCCTTCGGCACGCTCGATCACGGCCGTTGCCACTCGCTCACGTTCGTGGACCCGCGGGTGTATGGCGACATGTTCTTTGTAACCCTAAATGGCGACAAGCTGGTTCGCAGCATTCATTCCAGCCCTGGGCGAAACATGCAGGTAACTGCATACAGCTAGGTTTTTGTTTTTGTTGTTGTTGTTTTGTTTTGTTTACTTTTCTTTTCTTCATATTACTTTTCATTCGCATAGCTCATATTTGTTTCTATTGCTTGCAAGAGAGACTTACAGAGGCGCCCGAATAACCACCTCACTCCCTGGGCGAACCGTGCAGGTCATTTCGTACAATTACGGCGCAAAGATCACGGATCCGACGGTCCCGGACATCCCGTGCTACGTGCCGAACCACGACATTGTCGTGCCGGCGCTGGTCGCGAATCGCCTGCCCATCGTGCCGCCCTTCGAGACGGAGCGTGAGATCAAGGTGCTGTTCCGGTTCGGCGCGTCGCAGCACCACGGCGAGCCGCTGAAACACCACAACCGCAACATCCGGAAAGAGTTACACGAGGTGCGTGGTGGGTGGAGAGGGGAGGGGGGAAGGGGGGGGAGGGAAGGGGAGTGGGGGACGGGGAAGGTGGGGTGGTGGGGGGAAGAAGAGAGGGAGGAGGGGAGAGAGGGAGGGGGGGGAGGAAAGCGAGGAGGGGGGAGGGGGGTAAGGGGGAAGGGGAAGCGGGGTGGGGGGAGTGGGGAGGGGGGAAGGGGAAGGTGGTTGGGGGAAGGGGGGTAGGGGGAGAGGGGAGGGGAGGGGATGACCTTTGAGTCGACTCAATAGCCCCTTGCTGCAACATCACAACCATGACATCCGGAAGGGGTTGTTAGAGGTGGGTGGGTGGGTGGGTGGGTGGGTGGAGGTGGAGGGGTGAGGGGGGAGGGGGGAGGGAGAAGGAGAGGGAGAGGGAGTGGGGAGAGGGAGAGGGAGAGGGAGAGGAGCGAGAGGGGAGGGGGAAACGCGCATGCGAGGCCGATAAGGGCAATGCGTGGGATGGGAACAGGGCGCAGGGTAGGAGGGGTGAGGCTTGCCGGGGAAAGTGGGAGTGTGCGACGGATGAGGAGGACGAGGGAGAAAGGAAAGGTGGCGGCGGGTGTTACGGTGGTAACATCTGCATCCACTCTGGAGGCAGTGCGGGTGTTACGGTGGTAACATCTGCATCCACTCTGGAGGCAGTGCGGGTGTTACGGTGGTAACATCTGCATCCACTCTGGAGGCAGTGCGGGTGTTACGGTGGTAACATCTGCATCCACTCTGGAGGCAGTGCGAGTGTTACGGTGGTAACATCTGCATCCACTCTGGAGGCAGTGCGGGTGTTACGGTGGTAACATCTGCATCCACTCTGGAGGCAGTGCGGGTGTTACGGTGGTAACATCTGCATCCACTCTGGAGGCAGTGCGGGTGTTACGGTGGTAACATCTGCATCCACTCTGGAGGCAGTGCGAGTGTTACGGTGGTAACATCTGCATCCACTCTGGAGGCAGTGCGGGTGTTACGGTGGTAACATCTGCATCCACTCTGGAGGCAGTGCGGGTGTTACGGTGGTAACATCTGCATCCACTCTGGAGGCAACCGTGGTGGCGGTGGTGACGGTGCGGGGCTGAAGAAAAACAAATCTGCATCCACTCATCCCCTCTTCCTTCCTTCCCAAATCCCCGCCCCCCTCTCTCCTCTCTCCTTCCCCGCCCCCCTCTCTCCTCTCTCCTTCCCCGCCCCCCTCTCTCCTCTCTCTTTCCCCGCCCCCCTCTCTCCTCTCTCCAGATGTACAAGGGCGCGGGGCACGAGGGGTGGGACTTTGCGGTGGGACGAGGGGTACGAGGGGTGGGACTTTGCGGTGGGACGAGGGGTACGAGGGGTGGGACTTTGCGGAGAAGGGCGAGTATGAGACGGACGAGGAGTGGCAGAAGAGTGTCTTCTGCATCTGCCCTCCCGGCCACTCCCAGTGGACCAGCCGCCCCTTCAAGGTGCGAGGCTGTGATGGTCAATCGAGTCAATTTAGTGGGCTCCGGGCCACTCCCAGTGGACCAGCCGCCCCTTCAAGGTGCGAGGCTGTGATGGTCAATCGAGTCAATTTAGTGGGCTCCGGGCCACTCCCAGTGGACCAGCCGCCCCTTCAAGGTGCGAGGCTGTGATGGTCAATCGAGTCAATTTAGTGGGCTCCGGGCCACTCCCAGTGGACCAGCCGCCCCTTCAAGGTGCGAGGCTGTGATGGTCAATCGAGTCAATTTAGTGGGCTCCGGGCCACTCCCAGTGGACCAGCCGCCCCTTCAAGGTGCGAGGCTGTGATGGTCAATCGAGTCAATTTAGTGGGCTCCGGGCCACTCCCAGTGGACCAGCCGCCCCTTCAAGGTGCGAGTTGATACTAGAGTTACTTACTAGAGTGGTGTTGCAATACAGTAATAAGAACGCAGTTGTTACTAGAATGGTGTGACGATGAGCTTGACCACTGGCTTCCATGTCCCCCACCCCATGTCACTCACCATGCCTCTCCCGCCCTCACTTAAACCCCCCTTCATTCCTCCCTTTCCTCGTTACCTTCTCTTTCTCCTCATCCTCTCACTCACCACATCCCCTCCCCCCCCCCCCCCCCCCACCACAGGCGCTCATCCCAGGGTGCATCCCAGAGGCCTTCTTTCTTTCTTCTTCCATGGGCACGACAACCCCGGGGGACGATGAGCTGGACTTATTGTTTCCGTGCTTTCCCCATGATGCTGCAGCATAGGGGACGATGAGCTGGACTTATTGTTTCCGTGCTTTCCCCCTGCCTCTCCCACCCACACGCATTCCCTTCTTTCCCTGCTTCCCTTCCCCCTATTCCTCCTTTCCCCCCACTTCCCTCTCCCCCCACTTCCCTCTCCCCAAACCCCACAGGCGCTCATCTCAGGATGCATCCCAGTGACGTTCTTACGATCCGAGGTCATGACAATCCCTGGGACGATGAGCTCAATCGCCTCCCTTTCCGAGGTCATGACAATCCCTGGGACGATGAGCTCAACTTCTGGACGACCTCTTTCCGACTCCCCCCCTTTCCCCCAATCGCCTTCCCCCAACCCGTCTCTCTCCCCACCCCAGGCGCTCATCTCAGGGTGCATCCCAGTGACGTTCTTCCGAGGCCACGACAACCCCTGGGATGATGAGCTGGACTACTCTTCAGTCCCATGCTCCCCCATAAATTCCCCCCCACCCCTTCCCTTTCCCCCACCCCTTCCCTTTCCCCCACCCCTTCCCTTTCCCCCACCCCTTCCCTTTCCCCCACCCCTTCCCTTTCCCCCACCCCACTCCAGGCGCTCATCTCAGGGTGCATCCCAGTGACGTTCTTCCGAGGCCACGACAACCCCTGGGATGATGAGCTGGACTACTCGACAGTCTCGGTCAACATTGACCCTGACGAGCTGCACACTCTCAAAGAGCGGTTGGATGCGGTTCCAGTGAAGAAGCTACAGCGGAACATTGAGCGAATTCAGGTGAGGAAAGGTCATGGTGGGTGGGAGGGTGGGTGGGTGGGTGGGTGGGTGGGTGGGTGGGTGGGTGGGTGGGTGGGTGGGTGGGTGGGTGGGTGGGTGGGTGGGTGGGTGGGTGGGTGGGTGGGTGGGTGGGTGGGAGGGTGGGTACAAGTCGGCCTGTATGTAGTGAATGAATGAGGAGTCACAGCTACCCCTGGGATGATGAGCTGGACTGCTCATCCTATCGACTCCGACCAGCTGCACGCGTTGAAAGAGCGGTTGGGTGCGGTTCCGATCAAGAAGCTACAGCGGAACATTGAGCAAATTCAGGTGAGATGATGGTCAACTGTCATGCTGGGTGGATGGGTACGAGTCAGTCAACTGTCAGCCACAACACGACAACCCCTGGGTGGATGGGTACGAGTCAGTCAACTGTCAGCCACAACACGACAACCCCTGGGTGGATGGGTACGAGTCAGTCAACTGTCAGCCACAACACGACAACCCCTGGGTGGGACGATGAGCTGGACTACTCCACCGTGTCGGTCATCATGGATCCCGGCGAGCTGCACACATTAAAGGAGAGGCTGGACGCTGTTCCCATCAAGAAGTTACAATGGAACATCGAGCAGGTTCAGGCGAGCGATGCGTGGCTGGGTACTTGCATGCATGAGGACAGGATGAGCTGGACTACTCCACCGCGCTCAATTTGCTAGGTGTCTCGGATCCCTATGGGGTTCCGTGCTGATCAGATTGGGTATTTGGCGAGTCTTATGGGTTTCCAAGGGCGAGTGACTTGGTGCACGGCTGTTAGCTTCGTTCCACAAATCTCGTGTCACAAAGCTCGTGTCACAAAGCTCGTGTCACAAATCTCGTGTCACAAAGCTCGTGTCTCGTATCTAGTGTTGAAATTGAACACTCCAGTCCATTTTCCCTCTTCACATTCCTCCCTCATCCTTATGTATTCTCCCTGAACAACAGGAGGCTTATCGGTGGACAGGGGTGTACAATAAAGGAGCCGAGGCCATGCTTATAAAGAGGCTGAGGCAACGAGGGCACCAGCTTCAAGCAGTGGAGCAGCGGAGATTACGGGCGCTGCAATGATGGTGATGATATGGTCAGGGCTGCTCGGTCAGTGCCTCAAAAGCCACTTCTGAGGCGCCTCAAAAGCAGCAGAGGGTACGGGACCCTGCAATAGGGACGACGAGGAGGAGGACAGGGCGGCTTGTGAGGCAAAAGCCACTTCCTAGGATAGGTGCCTCAGAAGCCACTCCTGATTCGCCTCAAAAGCAGCGGAGGGTACAGTCCCTGCGCTAAGGACAATGAGGACAAGAGGAGTTCAGGGCAGCTCATGAGACATCTCTTACCCATGATCTTATGAGGCAACAGCCACCTCTTACCGATGATCTCAACTTTTGTCACAACAGTGGTAATTGCATGGTGTGGATCAGCAGAGTAAAAGGCTCTGGAATGATGGTGTGCTTTGCTGACATGAACGAACGGTGCCCCTTTGAAACATCCAAGTTTCAACATGGTACCGTAAATTTAGATCGGTGCGGGTGCGAGCCCATTGGAAGTTGCGTGAATGCTGGGTAGAGAGGGAGACTCACAGCAGCAGAGCAGAGACGTCCCCACAGCAGCAGAGGAACTGGCAGCAAATCAGACATTCGTAATTTATATTGGCAGTGGTGTTCAAATCAGACTGAGTACGGCCAAACATAATAACAATACTCTGTAAAGAAACAAAGAGTGTTGTTGTGTCAAGATCTCAAAAACATACGGGTACGGACAGAAGAGAGGTAATGTCAGGACTCTGGAGTACGCAACTGCCTCCCTACACACAGAAAGGAAAGGTAAGATAGTGATTCTCATCCCTATATATACACGTTACTATATATTTCATAAAAAACAGCTTTTCTAAGTGTAACAGATAAATATTCGTTACCAAAGAAAGGAATTTCTTTTGTAAAATACAAGAGCAGCTTCTACCATCCCTCATTTTCTATTGCAGGCACACCTGCTACAGGCGCCTTGCTATAGGAAGAGGGAGGTAGAGGAGAGTTGCTTGCCTCGCTGCCGTAACCTCTTCATAAGCTCGTACTTTGCCCCTTGTGTGTGATTCCCCGACCACTTGAACATCCGCTGGTGGCATAAAGGGGTGAGAGAGGGAGGTGGGGACTCCACATGAGAGAAGTTGAAAGAAGAGAGGATGTAAATGGGGGGTTATATGAGGGAAGATGAGAGAAGAGAGGATGTAAATGGGGGGTCACATGAGGGAAGATGAGAGAAGAGAGGATGTAAATGGGGGGTCACATGAGGGAAGATGAGAGAAGAGAGGATGTAAATGGGGGGTCACATGAGGGAAGATGAGAGAAGAGAGGATGTAAATGGGGGGTCACATGAGGGAAGATGAGAGAAGAGAGGATGTAAATGGGGGGTCACATGAGGGAAGATGAGAGAAGAGAGGATGTAAATGGGGGGTCACATGAGGGAAGATGAGAGAAGAGAGGATGTAAATGGGGGGTCACATGAGGGAAGATGAGAGAAGAGAGGATGTAAATGGGGGGTCACATGAGGGAAGATGAGAGAAGAGAGGATGTAAATGGGGGGTCACATGAGGGAAGATGAGAGAAGAGAGGATGTAAATGGGGGGTCACATGAGGGAAGATGAGAGAAGAGAGGATGTAAATGGGGGGTCACATGAGGGAAGATGAGAGAAGAGAGGATGTAAATGGGGGGTCACATGAGGGAAGATGAGAGAAGAGAGGATGTAAATGGGGGGTCACATGAGGGAAGATGAGAGAAGAGAGGATGTAAATGGGGGGTCACATGAGGGAAGATGAGAGAAGAGAGGATGTAAATGGGGGGTCACATGAGGGAAGATGAGAGAAGAGAGGATGTAAATGGGGGGTCACATGAGGGAAGATGAGAGAAGAGAGGATGTAAATGGGGGGTCACATGAGGGAAGATGAGAGAAGAGAGGATGTAAATGGGGGGTCACATGAGGGAAGATGAGAGAAGAGAGGATGTAAATGGGGGGTCACATGAGGGTCACATGAGGGTCACATGAGGGTCATATGAGGGTCACATGAGGGTCACATGAGGGTCACATGAGGGTCACATGAGGGTCACATGAGGGTCACATGAGGGTCACATGAGGGTCACATGAGGGTCACATGAGGGTCACATGAGGGTCACATGAGGGTCACATGAGGGTCACATGAGGGTCACATGAGGGTCACATGAGGGTCACATGAGGGTCACATGAGGGTCACATGAGGATCCCAAGACGATTTTTGAGGCGCCTCAAAAAAGCCAAGCTGTTATTTAGAAGCTGCTACTCTGTCCCTTGTGTATAGGGGGGCACACGCCAACGATCACGTGCATCGCCACGGTTTCGAGTCGACTCAAATCACATGAGGGAAGGAGGACCTTAAGCCAACCTGTTATTTAGAAGCTGCTACACTGCCCCTTGTATATATGCATTCGTTACCACTTGAACACCACCGCACTCCACCCATTTCACCGCACTTCGCACACCATTCCACCGCACTGCACCGATGCCAACCCACCTGCACCGTCTCCACGCCGCGTTGCAGCTGCTCCACAGGAGCGGTCTCTAGACGGGAGCGCAGAGAAGCAATGCCGTCGGGATCGATGTTGATGGAGAAGGAGGAGTAGTCCAGCTCATCGTCCCAGGGATTGTCGTGGTCTCGAAAGAACGTCACTGGGATGCACCCCGAGATGAGCGCCTGTGGGGTTGGGAGGAGAGGGGACAAGAGATGGGGGGAAGAGGGGGAATGGTTGGGGGAATATGAGGGTCCAGCTCATCGCCCCAGGGGTTGTCGTGGCCTTGGAAGAACGTACCTGTGATGCACCCTGAGATGAGCGCCTGTATGTTTGGTGGGGGGAGAGGGGACAGGAAGGAGTTTGCCACGTTCAAAGGCTGCAGTAATGACGAATTCGCACGCGCGCGGTTCAGTCAGTAAGCAAACCTCAACCTGTAAAATGGTGAGACGCTCTAATGCTACTTCGTAGTTGGGTTTCAACTACTCTACGGTTGGGTTTCAACTACTCTACGGTTGGGTTTCAACTACTCTACGGTTGGGTTTCAACTACTCTACGGTTGGGTTTCAACTACTCTACGGTTGGGTTTCAACTACTCTACAGTTGGGTTCCAACTACTCTACGGTTGGGTTTCAACTACTCTACGGTTGGGTTTCAACTACTCTACGGTTGGGTTTCAACTCCTCTACAGTTGGGTTCCAACTACTCTACAGTTGGGTTGGGTTCCCATGACTGTAGCAATCCGAACCTTGAAGGGGCGGCTGGTCCACTGGGAGAGCCCACTGGGGGAGCCCACTGGGAGAGCCCACTGGGAGAGCCCACTGGGAGAGCCCACTGGGAGAGCCCACTGGGAGAGCCCACTGGGAGAGCCCACTGGGAGAGCCCACTGGGAGAGCCCACTGGGAGAGCCCACTGGGAGAGCCCATTAAGTTGACTTCGTTGACTTGATCATTGACTCTGATTGACCATCGCAGCCGCGCACCTTGAAGGGGCGGCTGGTCCACTGGGAGTGGCCGGGCGGGCAGATGCAAAAGACAGCCATCTGCCACTCCTTGTTGGTCTGCCTCTCCCCCCTGGCTGCAAAGCTCCACCCTTTGATACGCTGCCGCCCGTACATCTGCGCGCAGGCGAGGGGGAGGGTAGGGGGGTGGGGGGGTTGGGGGGAAGGGGTGGGAGAGTGGGGGGTGAGTGCAAAGCTCCACCCTTTGATGCGCTGCTGCCCGTACATCCGCACACGGAAGGGGTGGTGGGTGTGGCCAGGTCCAGGGGGGTTGGTAGGTGTATGGCGGGGTTGAAGAGAGGAGACCCTTAAGTGGAATCTAGTGGGATCCATGTTGGTTGGTTGCACATGATGAGTCGATTTTTGGGTCGACTAAAAAATCGACTCATCATACGCGGAATCTAGTAGTGGGATCCATGTTGGTTGGTCGCACATACTTTGCGCTGCGAAGCTCCACCAACCTCACCCCCGCACTTACACGGAGCAGCTTGGGGCGTAAGTAACGGCCCGTGGTGCATGAGAGGCGCCCTGTGGCTCTGGTAGGCAAGATATAATGGAGTGACTTTTGAGAATTCTCAAAATTCACTCCATTATAGCCATTCACCACAACCCCCACTTCCCACCCACCCACCCACCCACCCACCCACCCCGCCCCTCACATACTTTGAGCAGCTCGGGGCGTAAGGAATGGCCGTGGTGCGTGAGGGGCGCCCTGTGGTTCGGCTGCATTGAGAAGCGGAAGATGGCTCGCATGGTACGATTGCCAGTGAAGGGCGACACCATGGGCAGCTGGAGTGGTGGGGGAAGGGGGGGGGGGGAGGAGGAAGAGGAGAGGAGGTGTGAGGGGGAGTGGGGCACGGTAGCAACAAGGGGGAGAGAGAGTGAGAAGCGGAAGATGGCTCGCATGGTGCGATCGCCAGTGAAGGGTTGATTTTTGAGTCAACTAAAAATCGACTTATCACACACACTGCCAGTGAAGGGTGACACCATGGTACCTGGAGGGGTGGTTGGTGTGTGTGGTGGGAGAGATAGAGTGAGAGAGAGGGATGTGCGGGCAGCATGGGACGGAATGGGCTGAGAGGTGGAAGATGGCTCGCATGGGACGGGCATGAGGGGCGTGGCATGAGGGGCGTGGCATGAGGGGCGTGGCATGAGGGGCGTGGCGTGAGGGGCGTGGCATGAGGGGCGTGGCGTGAGGGGCGTGGCATGAGGGGCGTGGCGTGAGGGACAGGCGTGTAGCAGGGAATGTTGAGACGGAACTTTGAGGCGCCTAGATACAAGCCTCTCGCCTCAACAACCCACCTGGCCGCCAACAAAGGCTGGCACGACAATGTCACGGTCGGGCATGTAGCATGGAATGTCTGGGTACTGTGGCTGCAAGGTCATGTTGTAATTGTATCCTATGATCTGTGCATTCGGAGAAAAGGGGAAGGGAGGGGAGATGGGCATGGGAGTTGGGGAGGAGAGGTTGTGAAGGGTAGAGGGATCAGCCCATGTAGCCTGGAATGTGGGGGTACTGCGGCTGCAAGGTCATGTTGTATTTGTACCCTATGATTTGAGAGGAGAGAAGGGAATCAAGAAGGAGGTGCAGTGCGGGCGTAGCACTGGACGAGAGGAGAGAAGGGAATCAAGAAGTTGATTTCCATTGAGGAGAAACAATGGTATACACAGGATGCAAGGAAAGGAGGTGGTTGGAGCCAAATTGGAGTGCCCAACCACAACTGGTCACACAATGTGTTGGGTTGAAACAACAACAAGGGTTTATGGCTAAATGTGGATTGAGATTGAGCACCAATCTCCCCATCGCTTGTGTTGGTGGGTTCACCACAAAAGGGGGGATTCACACCTCAAACACAAATGGTAGGTGCAGAGGTGACTTTTGATTCGACTCAAAAGTCACCTTGAGTCGACTCAAAAGTCACCTTGAGTCGACTCAGAAGTCACCTTGAGTCGACTCAAAAGTCACCTTGAGTCGACTCAAAAGTCACCTTGAGTCGACTCAAAAGTCACCTTGAGTCGACTCAAAAGTCAAAAGGGGGGATTCACACCTCAAACACAAATGGTAGGTGCAGGAGTAGCACTGGACGAGTGGAAGGTGCAGTGCGGGCGTAGCACTGGACGAGTGGAAGGTGCAGTGCAGTGCGGGCGTAGCAGTGGACGAGTGGAAGGTGCAGTGCGGGCGTAGCACTGGACGAGTGGAAGGTGCAGTGCGGGCGTAGCACTGGACGAGTGGAAGGTGCAGTGCGGGCGTAGCAGTGGACGAGTGGAAGGTGCAGTGCGGGCGTAGCACTGGACGAGTGGAAGGTGCAGTGCGGGCGTAGCACTGGACGAGTGGAAGGTGCAGTGCGGGCGTAGCACTGGACGAGTGGAAGGTGCAGTGCGGGCTCAAGGCGGTCCCCGTTGAGCACTGCAGTCCATCTCCCTACAGGTTCCTCTCCTCTCCCTACCTGCAGGTTTCTCTTGACAGAAGCGTGCATGGTGCGCCGCGCGCGCAAGGCGGTCCCCGTTGAGCACGATAAAAAACATTTCGCACCTGTCCACTGCTCCCTTCCTACCAGCTTCCCTCCCTACCTGCATGTTCCTCTTCTTAGAGGAGTGGATGGTGCGTGCAAGGCGGTCCCCGTTGAGCACGATAAAAAACATTTCGCACCTGTCCACTGCTCCCTTCCTACCAGCTTCCCTCCCTACCTGCATGTTCCTCTTCTTAGAGGAGTGGATGGTGCGTGCAAGGCGGTCCCCGTTGAGCACGATAAAAAACATTTCGCACCTGTCCACTGCTCCCTTCCTACCAGCTTCCCTCCCTACCTGCATGTTCCTCTGTTTAGAGGAGTGGATGGTGCGTGCAAGGCGGTCCCCGTTGAGCACGATAAAAAACATCTCGCACCTGTCCACTGCTCCCTTCCTACCAGCTTCCCTCCCTACCTGCATGTTCCTCTTCTTAGAGGAGTGGATGGTGCGTGCAAGGCGGTCCCCGTTGAGCACGATAAAAAACATCTCGCACCTGTCCACTGCTCCCTTCCTACCAGCTTCCCTCCCTACCTGCATGTTCCTCTGTTTAGAGGAGTGGATGGTGCGCGCAAGGCGGTCCCCATTAAGCACGATAAAGAACATCTCGCCGTACAAATCCGGGTTGACCCACGGCAACGCGAGGCAACGGCCGTGATCGAACGTGCTCGTGCCGAAGTGATCTCGGCCGTTGGTGCGGTTGAAGTAGGGGTAATCGCGGCGAATCATGGTGAGAATGTCGTGCCACGCCTGGATGGGATGTGGGGAGAGGGCGAGAGGGTAAGAGGGCGAGAGGGTAGAGGGTAAGAGGGCGAGAGGGTAGAGGGGGAGAGGGGGAGAGGGCAAGATGGCAAGAGAGGGGAAACACGTTTGAGGGGAAGTCGCATCCCAAAATAGTTTGGGTCTCCTATGTATTTATAAAAATTTGATAGATTGCACCTACTATGCAACATAGGATAAATATAATGTTGCAAACCTATAAGTACATGGTACGAGACCCTCCCATTCTTGTGACTCGATATACGCAAACTCACGAACGCATCTTTGTAACCTCCACGGCGACCTTACGCGTCATGTTCTTCATATGCCTGTTCACAAGCATGATGTGGTTCGACTCGATATAAGCAGACTCGCGAACGCACCTTAGGGACTTCCTCGACCTAAGTATGCATCATGTTCTTCATCAGCTTGTTCACATAGGAGATGCGGTTCGAGAGTAGTAGGGCACAAGCAGACTCGATATAAACAGACTCGCAACTCACCTTAGAAACTTCCTCGGCAGACTTATCCTGTTTTTCTCATTCTTGTTCACATGCGCGATGTGGTTCGACGAATAGTACAGTAACGGACTCGATATAAGCAGACTCGCAACTCACCTTAGACACTTCCCCGGCAGACTTATCCATCATGTTTTTCTCATTCTTGTTCACATGCGCGATGTGGTTCGACGAATAGTACGGGATGTAAAACAGCGTCGCCTTTTCAGGATCCGTCGTGCGAATCGCGTTAGAACGCATAAGAAGCTCCGTTAGTACCGACTCCACCTCGTATTGGTCAGAAAACCACTCCTTGGGGCGGCCCTTCATCCCCTCCGTCCACTCCGATTGCGTGTCGTACACGTAAATAAACGGACGGTTGCTATCGTTGTCGTCAGCTGATGCGGCGTCTTTACTGGTCCCGGCACCGGCGCCGTCGTCCCCGCCCCCGGAAAACGCGGAGACGGATCCGATCGTCGCTGCAGGAAGGAGCTGCGAGTCTCCCGCAGCGGGAACGGCGGCGGCGGAGGTGGGGGAAGGTCTACGGGACTCTAAATCCCGTCTTGCGTTAGCAAGGTCTCCAGAAAGATACGAGGCGGAAGCGGTGACGACGGCGGCGGTGGCGGCGGCGGCGGCGGTAGTCAGCTCGGGATTCTCTAGGTTCCTACAGAAGCAATCTTGCGATTGCATGTACGAACTGCTACTTAAAAGTGCTATCAATATGAACGACGCGACGGCCACATAGGCGAAGTGGATGGGAAAGCGCTTCGGATTTAACATCTGCTGCATCTTTGCGGCCTGTACTCCGATTTTAGAGACGTCCAGAACTAGCATCTCCCTCGAGAACATGACGCGGTCCGGAAATCGCGAAGGCGGTCTGTCAAGCCTGAAAAAGCGGATTAGCGAAGATTAGGTTTTGAGGGTGCCTTAAAAGAAAGGCCTACTCTGAAATTCGTCCACCTTCGCTGACGTCGCTCATGCTGATCCTGGTAATGTATCGCGGATGTCGCAGATTTCGCTGCTGTTGCAGCTGCACTAATGCACTTGTAGTGCACTACTGTATACAGTGATTGCTGCTCAACCCAGCCAATGGGGAATGCCTCGACGACTCTAGTCTAGCGTGCTCTGATGCACTTGTGGTTCACTGATGCACTCATGTGTGGTGTGGTTATGCATTCGCGGCGCGAGCGAGCAGCCAGCATTGAGAAAAGCAGCCCACATGGTTTTGCTTCGGGAGGAGGTGGCTCGGTGACACACTTGGCGGTATGGTTGGGGAGCTTTCAACCTATACAGATGATGCTCACCCCCTGCACGCGAATTTGATCGTTCCAGATGAAAACATTGCACCCGTGTGTTTTGTGCCATGAAGTTGCCCCCCATTTACAAGCCCCTCGAGAAAGCTGCAGTGAAATGAGCCAATACTAACCACAGAAACCGAAGTTTGACTGAAGAGACTGAAGTCAAACAGTCAGCAATGAGTTACAATTGCATTCTATAAGCCCTTTTTGCTCGGTGCGAATTGACGAAATCTTTGCGAATTTCCAAAGTTATTTATAAGCCCATAGCACAAGGCGAAGTTGAAGTTAATTATAGGCCCATAGCACAAGGCGAAGTTGGGTGCGCCAAACGAGCATTAACAGTACTTTAACCGTCAAGATACTTTCGCAGATGCTGACCAGGCGTTCGGTGGTGGTGGCCTGGCAGCGAAGTGAAGCTTCGAAGAATTCGTGTCGTGCTGTTTGTATGAGCAGCGGCGGCTCACGTTGACTTAGCTGCTGCGAACAAGACAAACTGTCTGTTACAGTTGCAACAAAGAGACGTTGGAGTCAGGCGAATCTGGAAGTCACGGGCGATTTTGGAAGTTCGGCAGCAGCCATCCACACACGACATCGGATCGGCCTTGGTGAAGGTCCCCTTATCGCGTTTAGACGATAAGCAAACGCATTTAGGAAGTGTTTACTGTACTGTATTGTAAAATGTGAGAATCGAACTTTCAGGTAACACTGTTCAGTGTGGATGTCGCCAATGAACATCAAATGTTTTTATGGGGGGCTCAAACTGTAGCTTCTCTTTGCATTCATTAGGAGGGGTCTGTATCCCCGGTAACCCTTTTAAGCTGTTTTGCACATAATTTCAGAAGGTTCACAAGACATGGATAAGAAACTACTACAAAACAGGGTAGATACAGCTTATAATCGACAAATGTACCATCGCGCCTTTCCCTGGTGATAAGCCCCGAGGCTTGTCCCATTGGGGTGGGGGGATCCTATCCAGGGGAGTAACGGTACACTACTTCGATAATCCCTCTTTCTTATTCGCCTCCACAGGCAGCAGAGCACACTGTACACTTTCGCGGCGCTTTGTTCTGCTATCCTGAATGCTCATTCGACACATTTTTCTTAGACTCCAGAGGCAGCACAATCTGCACTTACAGCTGCTGCATCTCCTTGTTGCCGCTGCTGGTGCAATCCTCCTCAGCCTGCTCATGAGCACCACCACCCTGTTCACCACCCCTATCCTCCGCGTGACTTTAAGTAGACTAAAAACGCATCATGCTGCCGTGATCTGTGCCGCTGCTGCTGCTCCAATCCTCCTCAGCCTGCTCATGAGCACCGCCCCTGCCCCCTGGTCCAAGGAATCATGCCACTTGAACATGTCCTGTGGCAAGAACGTGCAGAGAAGGGAGATTAGGAGTGAGGAGTGGTGAGCTGCTATTGCGCCACTGCTCCAATCCTCCTCAGCCTGCTCATGAGCACCGCCCCTGCTCATGGGGAACACGGAAAGGGGAATGAGCACCGCCCCTGCTCATGGGGAACACGGAAAGGGGAATGAGCACCGCCCCTGCTCATGGGGAACACGGAAAGGGGAATGAGCACCGCCCCTGCTCATGGGGAACACGGAAAGGGGAATGAGCACCGCCCCTGCTCATGGGGAACACGGAAAGGGGAATGAGCACCGCCCCTGCTCATGGGGAACACGGAAAGGGGAATGAGCACCGCCCCTGCTCATGGGGAACACGGAAAGGGGAATGAGCACCGCCCCTGCTCATGGGGAACACAGAAAGGGGAATGAGCACCGCCCCTGCTCATGGGGAACACGGAAAGGGGAATGAGCACCGCCCCTGCTCATGGGGAACACGGAAAGGGGAATGAGCACCGCCCCTGCTCATGGGGAACACGGAAAGGGGAATGAGCACCGCCCCTGCTCATGGGGAACACGGAAAGGGGAATGAGCACCGCCCCTGCCCCCTGGTCCAGGGACCCATGCCACTTGAACATGTCCTGTGGCACGAGCACTAGGGGAGGGAGTGGGGAGTGGGGGTTGGGGAGCAGGGAGTAGTTGTTGTGGTGAGAATAAATACAGCAGAACCGCCCCTGCCCCCTGGTCCAGGGACTCATGCCGCTTGAACATGTCCTGTGGGATGGGCATGGCTGCAGGGGAGTGGGGGGGAGTGGGGAGAGAGTTGGGGGTGGGGAGTGGGGAGCGGAGAGGGTGGGTAAGGGGGAGCGAGGAATGAGCGGGGAGGGGGGAGTCGGGAGAAATGGGTAGAGGTGTGTGGTGAGCGGGGAGTGAATGTATGAGGTGAGGATACAAACCAACCAACTCTGTGACGTTTGAGTGGACTCAAAAAGTACCTCGAAATGGTTAGTTAGAGGTGAGTGGGGAGTGAATGTATGAGGTGAGGATACAAACCAACCAACTCTGCACTCTGGTCCACGGATTCTTGCCATTCAAAAATATCCAGTCCCACCTGCCCCAGCCTCACCTACCCCAGCGTCCCAGTCCCACCTGCCCCAGTCCCACCTGCCCCAGTCCCACCTGCCCCAGTCCCACCTGCTCCAGTCCCACCTGCACTAGTCCCACCTGCCCCAGTCCCGCCTGCACTAGTCCCACCTGCGCCAGTCCCACCTGCGCCAGTCCCACCTGCGCCAGTCCCACCTGCACCAGTCCCACCTGCGCCAGTCCCACCTGCGCCAGTCCCACCTGCGCCAGTCCCACCTGCGCCAGTCTCACCTGCCCCAGTCTCACCTGCCCCAGTCCCACCTGCCACAATCCCCACCTGCAGGCGGTGGGGCAGTGAGTGGAGATCCGCCGGGTCGACGTTGAGCGAGAACACCGGGTAGTTGAGGGCCGAGGGGGGAGATTCGGCCGCGGGGGGAGAGGCGGCCGCGGGGGGAGAGGCGGCCGAGGGGGGAGAGGCGGCCGAGGGGGCAGCACTCTCCACTCTCACCTTTCCCAGTCCCACCCACCCCAGTGCCCACCTGCACGAGCCTCACCTGCACTCCCACCCACCCCAGTGCCCACCTGCACGAGCCCCACCTGCACGAGCCCCAGGTTGTGCTGCAGCCTGGCGACGAGCCCCGGCTGGTCAAACGCGTCCTGCAGCCTGCGGGGGAGCGAGTGGAGATCCGCCGGGTCGACGTTGAGCGAGAAGAGCGGGTAGTTGAGAGAGGAGGGGGCGGTGGGTGCGGCAGAGGCAGGGGCAGTGGCAGTGGCGGATGATGGTGCTGCTTTTTGGTGGTGGAGGGATGCAGCCCAGGGGTTGTCGTTGGCACGGAGGAACGTCACTGGGATGCAGCCTGAGAGGATTGCCTGGGCGGGTGAGGGAGGGAGGGAGGGAGGGAGGGAGGGAGGGAGGGAGGGAGGGAGGGAGGGAGGGAGGGAGGGAGGGAGGGAGGGAGGGAGGGAGAGAGGGAGGGAGGGAGGGAGGGAGGGAGGGAGGGAGGGAGGGAGGGAGGGAGGGAGGGAGGGAGGGAGCGAGGGAGGGAGGGAGGGAGGGAGGGAGGGAGGGAGGGAGGGAGGGAGGGAGGGAGGGAGGGAGGGAGGGAGCGAGGGAGGGAGGGAGGGAGGGAGGGAGGGAGGGAGGGAGGGAGGGAGGGAGGGAGGGAGGGAGGGATGGAGGGGGGGAGGGAGGGAGCGAGGGAGGGAGGGAGGGAGGGAGGGAGGGAGGGAGGGAGGGAGGGAGGGAGGGAGGGAGGGAGGGATGGAGGGGGGGAGGGAGGGAGCGAGGGAGGGAGGGAGGGTGAGATTGTTGGGATGGAAGAATGTCACGGGAGTGGGAAGTAGGGAGTGGGGAGTTGGAAGTGGGGAGTGGGGAGGGAGGAGTGGGGAGGGGGGAGTGGGGAGGGGGGAGTGGGGATGATGAGAGACAAACCCACTTGGTGAGCTGGACAGTCCATTGTGCCCCACCGGGGGGCACGAGGCAGACGACAAGTCTTGAGGCGTCTCATAAGTATTCTTGGGACATCTAGCATTGAGACAAGGTTCAAGACGTCTCAAGACGTCTTAAAGCCCACCTTGGCGAGCTGCACGGTCCACTGCGCCCGACTGGGAGGCACGAGGCAGAAGACACTTTCGCCCCACTCGCTGTTGTCACCAGCTGCACCGCCAGCAGCAGCAGCAGCAGCTGCACCAGCACCAGCAGCAGAAGCACCACCACCAGCACTATCGCCAGCAGCAGCGGCACCACCACCACCACCACCATCAGCACCACCGGCACTATCGCCAGCAGCAGCGCTAGCACCAGCACCAGCAGCAGCAGCAGTGGCAGGGATTTCCGAGGCATCCCCTCGGACCCCCCCAGCCTCCTCGCTGTCGCCTCGAAACACCACCTTCCACCCGTAAATGGCTGCTGCATGGGACGTGTATAGCTGTGGGGTTGGGTGCAGGGGAAGGGGAGAGAGCGGGCGTTTGAGTCGACTCAAACACAGCAGCACCAGCACCAGCGCCAGCAGCAGTGGCAGGGATTTCCGAAACATCCCCTCGGACCCCCCCATTCTGCTCGCTGTCGCCTCGAAACACCACCTTCCACCCGTAAATGGCTGCTGCATGGGACGTGTACAGCTGTGGGGTTTAGTGTGGGTAGGGAGGGAAGAGGGAGAGTGAGCGTTTTGAGTCGACTTATAACACACCCCAGCCCAGCCTCCTCGCTGTCGCCTCGAAACACCACCTTCCACCCGTTGATGACTGCTGCGTGGGATGTGTACAGCTGTGGGGGGGTGGGGGGTTTGAGGGTGGGGGGAAAGGGGAGAGTGAGCGTTTTGAGTTGACTAACAACACACACCCAGCTTCCTCGCTGTCGCCTCGAAACACCACCTTCCACCCGTAAATGGCTGCTGCATGGGACGTGTATAGCTGTGCGTGTGTGTGTGGGTGGGGGGGAGGGAGAGGGGAGTGCGACCAGGGAATGGTGAGTGAGAATTCCCAAAAGTGTCTCCTCGCCGTCGCCTCGAAACACCACCTTCCACCCGTAAATGGCTGCTGCATGGGACGTGTGCAGCTGTGGGGGTTAAGGGGGGGGGAAGAGAGAGAGAGGGGACGAAGATTAAAAGGCCAAGAAGGCCCAACAGAATTCTATCAACCACGTCTCACCTCGATCAACCACGTCTCACCTCGATCAACCACGTCTCACCTCGATCAACCACGTCTCACCTCGATCAACCACGTCTCACCTCGATCAACCACGTCTCACCTCAATCAACCACGTCTCACCTCGATCAACCACGTCTCACCTCGATCAACCACTTCTCCACCGCGTAGTTATGGTGCATGCGTTCAACCTTGATGCTGTCGCTGCTCGCGTCAGCAATGCTGCTCGCTGACGTCACCAACAGCACACGGATCGTACGACCGCCATAGGTGGCAGCATCAGCTGTATCATCAGCAGCAGAATCAGCAGCAGCAGAAGCAGAGATGGGAGCAGAAGTCTCAGAAGCCGTGGTGGGTATGCCCTTGGGGGGGATGACGTGTGTCTGAGTCAGCAAGGGCGGCACGACCACGTCTCGTTTGGGATAATAGCAGGCGATGTCCGGAATAGAGACGTTCATAGGCGCTCCGTAGTTATACGACAGCACCTGCAAGCGCGCCGCGGCAGCAGCAAGGGGGAAGGGGAATGGGGAACGGGGCACGGGGGAGGGGGGAAGGGGGGATTTTGTTGGGGAAGGGGGAGGCAGCGGAACAGGAAAGGGGAAAATGAGAGCAACACTTAGAGCGCGGTGTAGAGAAAGTGCGGTGTACAACAGTTTCTATGCGGCGAAGAAAACAGCAGTAAAATAGCTGTTACGAGGGTCGCGATTCGCCTACCCGCATGTCTGGTGTCCATCCCGTGTGAACGCTCCGCACCAGAGCATCCCCGTTATAAGTCACGAAGAACATCTCGCCGAGCAACTTAGGATTTATGTACGTCAGCGCGTCGCATCTCCCGTTCTGCGTCGACAGAATTGCAAAATGATCTCGGCCGTTAGATCGGTTGAAGTACGGCTCGCGCCGCACCTTCGTAATCATTGCCATCCAAACCTGCGATGTCTTTTCCACCGCGTCCCGCATATCCGCACCGTCTTTCGAGACGCTTAGGTAGTACTGTAGCAGCCGGGCAGAGTAAAATGGCACGAAGAACAAACTAGCCTGTTTCGGGTCGCGGGTTCGAACCCCACCAGCGTCAGATAAAATCTGTTCCGTCAATTTCCGTTCGAGGTCGAAATGTAACGCGTACGGTGGGACGTTCATCCCGGAGATGCTATCCGTACAGTTGGGCCCGAAATCGTACACGTATATGTACGGTTTCTTTTCTTCCACTGCACCCGCCACGAGAAGCCGATTAAACGTGTCAGCAGGACTATCCGGTAACCGCGCGTACACGTTATAAGCGTTCGCCCCGCTCTCTATAGGCCTTGGAGCCGCGCCGCCGGCCGAGGGACACTTAGTAACTTCAGCAGCGGGGAGCTCACTAGCGGGACCTCCGGAGCCGCCGCGGATGGCACTGAAGCGTGTGCTGACGTCATTATCGCACATACAAGCCGGCTGTTCATGACGCAGGATGAACACGGTTGCAATAAGGCCGACAGCTGCAAGGATAGCGACAGTGACGCGGTTCGAGAGGCTCCTAGGAGATAAGGGCGCTTCGGGCGCAAGAGGGCTCATCGACATGCTGCCAAACGGTTTGCCAGAATTTGTCTCCCTCGACGAGTCCGGTTTCCATCAGAAATACAAATGCTCCAAAACCTCCTTGTTTGGCTTCCGATTCCGAGTTCCATTAGGGCGTGTAAAGTCGTGCCACAACAATTTTTGGGAAAATCCGTCGGGCCGTTGTTGGCGAAAGTAACCCTTTTACGACACTCGCCTTGTTTTGGGCGAAGCTCGGTAATTTCGCGAAATCACGAAATATTTGATGGCCGTTTCAGCGAACCGACACGACAACGACGCCAAGTCGACTCGCTAACGGCCACGAAGCCGACTAGTCAGTGCGACAAATGTGCCCATCGTCGCACAAGCGCCCTGCGTTAGAACGAGTGGTTGTGCCACTGCTGGAGTCAAATGTGCGACTGGGTCGCAAAGTGGCTGGTTTGTGCGAGGCTGCAAATTTGACATGTTTGTTCATGCAGCCCGCAAATCGGCCTGCAAACTTGTCAAGTCTGCAAAATGGCAAGTACAGGCCGTTTTGGTGGGCGACCAAATCTCGACCAAGTAGTGGTCGTTGTTCGCGAAAGAAATAACGACCAAAAAGTCGTCGGATTTCCAGCCATTTGCAAATTTCGCAAATGGTGCGCGACTTTAGTCTGCGTGGTGCATCCATGGTAGGTGTAATGGATGGCCGTTCGTTTCTTCGCGAATGCACACTCTTGCTCCGTGGTACTGTACAGTCTGTACAGCTTGCAATGATGCTCGCGTGCGTTGCTAGGGCAGACAGCCGTTTCTCATCCCCTGCAGGTCGCTGGATTTCAGAAAGGTGAGTGGCGGTCTGAAGCGGTAACTGATTGGTGCAAAAGATTAGTTCACACCGCGCCACCGACTTCCGAGCCCCTTCATGTCAGGCCTTCCGAACCAAGCCCGAAGTACGACGATACGGTCCATTGAAAACCTCACGTGCCGTGGTGTCACTCAGAGGGTGTCTCAGATGTCTGAGTCCACGTGGGTCCGGCTCGGACCTGACGGACCAGCTCAAGAACCAGCGCGTGAACCAGGGCGGACCGGGACCAGCATGCGGGGCTTGTAACCCCGTTATACCGTTCGAATGGCACTAAAACGGTGCCATTTATTTGGCCCTCCAGACCAGTCCGCGCCTGGTCAGTAAACAGTAGGTGGTGAAACATTTATTTTTGCGAAATTTCTTGTTTTGTAAGTTTCGCGTGAGATTTTTGTGCAGACGAAGAAAATGGGTAACTAAATTTCAAATTCGTTGCTACTGCTGCATCTCGCAAATACTGTGCAGCCCGAAGCGCGACGGATTAGGCAGACCAGTCCGTGTCTGGTCCAACGCTGGTCCGCCAAGTGGGTCCGTCGGACCAGAACCCCGGACCAGGCGTATAGATTCTGGTCGCGGACCAGATCCAGCAGACCCTTCACATGAGACACGTCCTCAAATTCACCTGAACCCTGACCTGAACATTTTACAGATGTTTCATGGGATTCTCCAGGAAACGTCGATCTGGCGGCAATCGACGACTCCTGAGGTGTCTGTATTTGTTTGTTTCTACGTTGGGAACATCAAACCACCGAGTCCCACCGAGTCACTCATCTGCTTCGAACCAAAATCCATCGAATCTCAACGTACCTAATCACTCTCAACCTGCTACACACGCGCTGTGGGCACTATTCTTTCTCAACACCCGAGCCGACGTTGTTCGCTCGCGTCGCGTCGCGGCTGTGTGCTTACTTATCACGTGCCTCTCCACTAGAGCTTCACACAAGAGTCCTACTGTACTAGACTCTTCAGGTTGGTTCGTTGTTGGATGAGCAGCAACTGATTTAGCTAGGAGCAACAACAGCAGAGAGGCTATCAACAGCAGCAAAACCAGCGCCAGCATCGAGACAGGATTATTTCAGTGTAAACTAAGTGCATCTCGCATTTGAGCTTGTCACGGCCCGTTCACTCCCTAAGCTTTTCCGATTCACACTCTTTCAGGGCTAGACTTTCAGAATCTTCGTCGTTTCCGGTCCACGTGGTGTCTGCTTTTGAGTGACTCAAAAGCAGACTTATTACACGCGATTCACACTCTTTCAGGTCTTGACGCTCAGAACCTTCGCCGTTTCCGGACCGCGTGGTGTCCTCGTGGGAAATTTTAGTTCCGGACGTCACTAAGATCAAAGTACAGGCCGCTAAGATGCAGCAACAGCTCTTGAGTCCGAAGCGCGCTCCCGAGCTCTTCGCCTTTGTGGGCGTCGCGTCGCTCTTATTGGTAGGGCTTCTATGTAGTTCGTATTTACAGCTCCTACCGCAAAACTGCTTCTGTCCAAACCTAGAGAATCCCGAGTTGTCCACCGCCGCCGCCGCCGCCGCCGCCACCACCACCGCTTCCGCCTCGTCTCTTTCCCGCGACCTCGCCAGCGCAAGACGCCATCTAGAAATCAGTGGAGTTTCCGCGACCCCTGCCACCGTTTCCGCCACCCCCGCCGCCGTTTCCGCAGCGGTAGTCTCGCAGGCCCTCCCTGCAGCGACTATCGGATCCGACGCCTCGTTTTCCGGCGGGAACGGCGGCGCCGGTGTGAGGGCCAATCAGGACGCAGCTGGCGACGGTAACAACCAACAATTTATTTACGTGTACGACACGCAATGGGCGTGGACGGAGCCTATGAAAGGACTCGATAGGGATTGGTACTCAGACCAATACGAGGTGGAAACTGTGCTGACGGAGCTACTAATGCGCACTAACGCGGTTCGCACGACGGATCCGGAAAAGGCGACGCTGTTTTACGTGCCGTACTACGCGTCGAACCACATCTCGCATGTGAACAAGATTATGAAGAACATGATGCAGACGGCGGTCGGGGAGGTCTCTAAGGTGAGCTGTGAGTTCGCTTACATCGAGTCCGTTCGCGGCGTACTAGTACGCGTCGAACCACATCTCGCATGTGAACAAGATCATGAAGAACATGATGCAGACGGCGGTCGCGGAGGTCTCTAAGGTGAGCTGTGAGTTCGCTTACATCGAGTCCGTTCGCGGCGTACTAGTACGCGTCGAACCACATCTCGCATGTGAACAAGATCATGAAGAACATGATGCAGACGGCGGTCGCGGAGGTCTCTAAGGTGAGCTGTGAGTTCGCTTACATCGAGTCCGTTCGCGGCGTACTAGTACGCGTCGAACCACATCTCGCATGTGAACAAGATCATGAAGAACATGATGCAGACGGCGGTCGCGGAGGTCTCTAAGGTGAGCTGTGAGTTCGCTTACATCGAGTCCGTTCGCGGCGTACTAGTACGCGTCGAACCACATCTCGCATGTGAACAAGATCATGAAGAACATGATGCAGACGGCGGTCGCGGAGGTCTCTAAGGTGAGCTGTGAGTTCGCTTACATCGAGTCCGTTCGCGGCGTACTAGTACGCGTCGAACCACATCTCGCATGTGAACAAGATCATGAAGAACATGATGCAGACGGCGGTCGCGGAGGTCTCTAAGGTGAGCTGTGAGTTCGCTTACATCGAGTCCGTTCGCGGCGTACTAGTACGCGTCGAACCACATCTCGCATGTGAACAAGATCATGAAGAACATGATGCAGACGGCGGTCGCGGAGGTGTCTAAGGTGAGATGCGCGTCTGCTTGTATCGAGTCGTAATTACTCCCTCCCTCGCCTCTCGCCCCTCGCCCCTCGCCCCAAACCCCGACTCTTCTCCGTTTCCGCACTCATCTACATTCGCACTCCCCGTATCCCTTTTCCGCCTATCCTCCGGTCGCCTCCCCCCTTTTCCCCCACCCCCGCCCTCGTCCTCCAATTCCCTCGCTCCCATTTCCCCCTCCCATCCCCTCTCCTCCCCACCCGCCTTCTCCCCCTCCCCAACCGCCTTCTCCCCCTCCCCACCCGCCTTCTCCCCCTCCCCGCGCGTCTTC